ATCAATAAAATTACTCCAAGGCATCCGGGTCTGAAAACAGCCTAGTTACAAGGTTTCATAACATCTTACATCATCTTACTTATGCAGTCCCACATAAGACAAACAATGCATTTGCCCTGCCGAAAATAATGAAACTGCTCAGTATTGCTGAGGGGGGAAGAGATAAGAATTAGCTATTGTAGAAATAACATAACATAAAATGCATTTGATAATATAACATAAAATCAGCTAAAAAGGGAGAAAAGTTGATACTCCTAAAAACAATAAAAATAGAAGCATCAAAATTTAACTTCTTCAGATGTTTGCAGAGTGAGAAAGATCTGTTAGCTGATTTAACCAAATAATCTTACTGTGAAGACATAACACTTATTTTTTAAAATAGTATAACATAGATTTATCTCCCATAATCAATTGTTAATTAGAAATTACTTCCTATCCTTTTACAACTTTCTCCAAACAGGATAAATTATTTCTAACCCATTATTTTAAATAATATCTCAAATAACGGAGCAGCACCTTAACTATATCATAAAACCACTAGTTAATTAAGTCAGGTTTTATTAAATATATCTGAAGAAGACTGAAATGGAATTAAAGTATGTCCCTTTTCTATAAAAATTTTAAGTGGTTTTCAAATCACCTCTAATTATTATCGGCAGAAAGTTTTACTTCTAAATATTTTAAACCTCTTTGTGGAAGCTTGCTATATACAGGGCAGGGCAAAGATATGATGACAGTTGTGAATACATGAAACAGAGTTTCTTCTTAGATTATTATTTATTATATTATTTTCCATATGAATAACTGTAAGCCTACTTTTGCCCCACTCTGAATAAGAACCATTGGAATCAGGAAACTCTAGAAAATATGGAGTCCTCACACATAGATCCCAATCTGGGTACACATAGCTTGACATAAAATATCATAGTAATTCAAGTTTATGTAAAGGCACATGAAGAGAAATGTAATAAGGTATTTTATAATGTGACTAACTGCCAATAAAAACAAAAGGAAGACGGAAGGCATTTCATCACAGGCAAATTCTAAGAGGAGAGAAAGTTTATACTGATGACATTTTTGTGGGATGACATGTTCTTTCTGGTTACTCTTAAAAGTCTAAGTCTGTGTATTAAGGACAAAAAAGTTAATTCTTCAGAGGATATCAAAACTTTAAAATCAGCCGGGACTGGTTTGGCTCAATGGATGGAGCGTCGGCTTGGGGACTGAAAGGTCCCGGGTTCGTTTCCGGTCAAGGGCATGTACCCTGGTTGTGGGCATATCCCCAGTAGGGGGTGTGCAAGAGGCAGCTGATCGATGACTCTCTCTCATTGATGTTTCTGACTATCTCTCTCCCTTCCTCTCTGTACAAAAATCAATAAAATATATATATTTTTAAAAAACTTTAAAATCAACAGTAGCTGTTTTTATAACATTTAAAAGGAAGATACACAACCCAAACTTACTTTAACTATTCTTTTAATTATAGCATTACGGAAGCCTTGTACATTGCTGGTGGGAATATAAAATGGTATAGCCAATGTGGTAAACAGTTTGGTGATTCCTTAAAAGCTAACCATAGAATTACCATATGACATAGCAATTCAACTCCTGAGTATATATACCCAAAATATTTAAAAACAAGGACTCAAACAAATACTATACACCAACGTTCATAGCAGCATTATCCATAGTAGCCAACAGGTGGAAACAACCCTGTGCCCATCAACAGATGAATGGATGAAGGAAATGTAGTATACATAAACAATCAAATATTTCTCAGTCGCAAAAAGGAATGAAGTTCTGATCCATGCTACAAAGTGGATGAACCTTAAAAACATACTAAATGAAGCGAGCCAGATGCAGGACAAATATTGTATGAATCCAGTTACATGAAATATCTAGAATAGGCAAATTTATAGAGATAGGAAATTTTTAGAATGATTAGAAGTTACCAATATATAAATGTCTAATCACTATATCATACACCTAAAACTAGTAAACATTGTATGTCAACTGTAAACTGAACAATTAACAATTACCAGGCGCTGGGGAGGAGAAGAAAATAGAGACTTAATGCTTAACCTGTTAACCGAGCGGGACGTATAAATACGTCAAACATAAACAATATCCGGTATAGATAGGACATATGAATACGTCCTTGAAATATATGTTGTGTCATGAAACTGGCGGGACGTATATTTCCAAACAACAAAGGTAATTAGTCATCCATACACGTCTCGACATGAATTTAAGACACGGAGGGAATCAGTATAATTTCACTAGTGAGAGTGGTGGACATGCTCAACAAGAATTGTTTTGGAGTTAACACATGACTTACTGAATAAAGGGTATAGGGTTTACTTAGATAATTTCTATAGGTCAATTCATTTGGCTGAACTCTTGTGTCAAAACAATACAGACATTGTTGGGACAATGAGGATAAACAGAGTCGGAATCCCCAGTGAAACAAAAACAAAAAAATTACAGAAAAATGAACATAACGTAAGATTCAAAGACAAACTTATGGTTTTAAAATGGAAGGATAAAAAAGATGTATTGATGCTCAGTTCTATTCATAATGACATAATGAATAGAACTGAGCATCAATGATTGAAAAGAGAGGAAGAAGGCAAGAAAAACCAAATGTTGTCCTGGATTATAACAATATGGGCGGTGTAGATTTGGGAGATGGAGTTATGGTGGCCTACACGGGTATAAAAAAATTTTTTCTACGATTAATAGATATGTGCTGCTTCAATGCATATATTATATACAAAAAAGATAAAGATCATTTGGATCGATTACACTTTTTGATAGTGTAGAAAAATTGGCAGATAACAACATAGTGAAAACCCACCCAAAGACATCAACAAGCAGCTCTACATCTAAACCATCACGTTTAGTTGAAACGCATTTTCCAGAACAAATGAAAAGCGATATAGGGCAGAAACCGGTTTGGCTCAATGAATAGAGCGTCGGCTTGGGGACTGAAAGGTCCTGGGTTCGATTCCGGTCAAGGGCATGTACCTTGGTTGTGGGCATATCCCCAGTAGGGGGTGTGCAAAAGGCAGCTGATCGATGACTCTCTCTCATCGATGTTTCTAACTCTATCTCTCTCCCTTCCTCTCTGTACAAAATCAATAAAATATATTTTAAAAAAAAGAAAAAAGAAAAGCGACATAAAAAAAAACTAAATCCAGGAAATGCCGAGTTTGCTACAAAAAAGGTGTTAGGAAAGAATCTACATACTGGTGTCCGGATTGTAAGGTAGCACTATGTATCAACAATTGTTTTAAAATATATCACACGGAAGTTGAGTTTTGAATTTTTACATTTATATTTTAATTTTTAAACTCAATATTTCTATTTTATTTGTGTGCTTTTGTTTATTATTCTGTAATTGTTAACTTTTTTATATTTTTTATTGTGTATCGAAATAAAAAATATATATTTTTTGTAATCTTTATAATTGTTTGTAAAATTTATAATTTTTTAATTCGATGTTTCCATTTTTTTGTTGGTATTCTTTTCTATTTGTTTGTAATTTTGAATTTTCCTTTCTGCTTTATATATAAATAAACAAAAATATATATATTTCATAGTCTTTTCATTTATTTTAAGTATAAATAAAAAATAATAATAATATGAAATTACATCCTCCAGACGTGACTTACTGACACGTTCTAATGAAAGAGTACACACGCCCGTTATACATTGCGTAATTAAAAACGGAATTTCCCGGTTAACAGGTTAATAGTTACAGAGTTTCTGTTTGGGGTTGAAGAAAAGGTTTATAAATAGACAATGGTGATTCAATGGCAGAACATTATGAATAAATTAATGCCACTTAATTCTATATTTAAAAATGGTAAAAATGCAAATTTTATGATTGATATATCTATGAATTAGTTATCTATATATACTACACCACCACATTTTTTAAAAAAGCAACGGCAATCCATGATCACCATACAGATTAAAACACAAAAGGAAAATGTGCCTTTTTATAAAATGGAGAGAACTTGGCCACCGACAGCCTGACCTGCTGTGCCTCTGATATGATGTGAACTATATAATGGTCATCTTGGAAAATCTGACCTGAATCTTATCATAAAGAAAATTACAAGTCTAGAATATGGGATGTTCTGTAGGACAACTGGCATTGGCTCTTTAAAGGATTCACCATCATTAAGAAAAGAGAGTACTGATATGACTGTTTTAGATTGGGGAAACTAAAAAAATAAAAAACAAAAACAAAAACAAAACACCACAAGAGCCAAGTGCAGTTTTTGAACCCTGACTGGGTCTAATCTGCAGGAAAAGAAGCTATAAAGAATATTCTGAGATAACAGAGAAAATTTGAGTTATGGATACTATGTGGAATGGTAGTTTTGAATTATTGCTGATTTCTCAATTACAGTAATGGTATATGGTTATATAAGAGAATGTCCCTCTACTTAGGAACTACATGCTGAGGTTCTTAGAGATGCAGTGTCATGAAATCTGCAACTACTTTTGGAAAGTTTGACAAAAGAGAATAACGGTGGAGGAGGAAGAGAGAGAGCGAGCAGGCAGGAACATGTGAGGTAGATAACAGTGAATTGAAATGAAGGATATAGGGGTGCTCATGCAGTTTTCTTTTGATTTGACTCTCAGCTGTTATAAGTAGATCAACAACAACAAATGGAAAGAAGTATTATCAATCTAACAAATTTTACACAGTTTTTACAATTCTAATTAACTTCAAATAAATTCTTTTCCCCATCATTAAAAAAGCAGTTGGATAATACAATATAAATGAATATTTTCAGGAGATGTCTTACTCAGAGAATTCTAAATTTATGTATTAGGTCAAACAATGTGTAAATTTGAAAATTTCAGACTAAAAGAAAGTTTAAAAAAATTAGAATTTTTCAGTTTCCTCATTTCCACTTAAGAGTATACCTAAGGAAGCTAAAGGAACAATGGGGAAAATGTAGCAAACTCGGAGCTTCACATACCTTCTACGTCATACCAGTGCGCACCATTCGTGATCCCGTCTGGGAAGGTCTCATCCTCCTCTCCGGGGCAGTGAGGGGCCCCTGTTTTCATAATGGGGTGGTTTGAAGCATAGGCTTTTGCCAAGTATTTAAAGACTTCATCATCTGAGGTTTTGCTATAGATTCCAGTGGCCTTGTGTTCCGGAGAATCATCAAAAGGATAGCTTGCTACCACGGAGCCACCATGCAGATTTCCAGAAAGCACGAACCTTTGAAAATAAAACCAAGTTACATATCTAAAAAACCAACAACAAAAAGACCCCATGTATTTAAAAATGTTACATCTTTCAGCATTGGCCTGTGTGGCTCCGTTGGTTGGAGCATGGTCCTATATACCAAAAGGCTGTGGGTTCCATTTCCAGTTAGCACACATACCTACATGGTGGGTTCTATATCTCAGTCTGGTCAGGGCACGCATGGAAGGCACCCAATCAACGTTCTCTCTCACATTGATTTTATTTCTCTCTCTCTTTTCCTCCCTCCCTCCATCCCCTCTCTCTAAAATCAATAAGCATATCCTCAGGTGAAAATTTAAAAAAAATTTTTTTATATCTTTCATAAATAAACTCAGTACCTCTTTTGATACCTAGAAAACAACTCTATCAGCTGTTATAAGTAGATAAACAACAATAACTGGAAAGAAAGTATTATCAATTTAACAAATTCTAAACAGTTTTTACAATTCTAATTAACTTCAAATAAATTCCTTTCCCCATCATTAAAAAAGTAGTTGGATAACACAATATAAATTAATATTTTCAGGAGATATCTTACTCAGAGAATTCTAAATTCATGTATTATTAGGTCAAACAATGTGCATTTGCCAATATTCAATCTTTTTTGACCTACAAAATGACAATTTCATATAGTTCAACCTAAAACATGTATTTCATAATGTGCTAATTTCATAGAAAGTATGCCTTGTGTAAATAAATATTTGTTGAATACGTTAGGTTAATAACTTTCATGCTTTTTTAAGATAAGGAGTCTAATTTGAAACAGGATGTATTCACAATATACTAAATTCACATTTTCTTTTTTTTTTTTTTAATATGTGTTTTATTGATTTCAGAGAGGAAGAGTGAGGTATAGAAAGATAGAAACATCAATGAGAGAAAATCATTGATCGGATCCCTCTTTCATGTCCCCTACTGGAGATCAAGCCCACAACCCAGGCATGTGCCCTTGCCAGAATCGAACCTGGGACCCTTCAGTCTGTAGGCCGATGATCTAGCTGTTAAGCCAAACTAGCTAGGGCTAAATTCACATTTTCAAGAGAAAAGCCACAGCTGAGAAGACTGGGGGTGAGGAGAGAGGGGAGGAACCTGATACACTGAGCTGCTTTCAGAGAAAAACAATAGAGCACATAAAAGGCTAGTCATCCACTGCATCACTGGGAAAGCTGCTATCTAGAGCCAAGGTTCCTGATTGGGCCATTAGAAAATAAACTGACAGGGAGGGAAACATGACTGCTTGTATAAAAGAAACATTTTTACTTTTTTATGTTTCTACTATGAAGTAAAGCCATTTACAATCTGGTCAAACTTATACAGAAATACTCCTTTTATGGTGAAAGCTAAAGGCAAAAATAGACTATGTATACATCTCTCCCTCATGTAACAATTCAAATCATCACTATGAGTAGAGATTAAACACTTTTCTCTTTGTACTTAAAACAGCATTTTCTTGCTTCTGCCTTTTTGTGGCTGAAATGAACTGACCTACAGAAATTCTAAAGGGAGTTGATAAATAACATTTATTTCTATACGCTTGAAAGAAAACTAAACGTATGATGTCTCAGAGGAGATCAAACAATGAAAATTACACAGAATCTGTTCATCAGTAGAGGGAACTTAGCCATTAAAGACAGTGATTAAATACTAAAATAGACTATGAAAAGCAATTAATTAAGATCTACTATAATTATAATTAGCACTCTTCCAGATACACAGGAGAATGCCATTTGGTATGGTGGCAATAACACAGGCTATGGAACCAGCCAAATGTGGGTAAGAACATTCTGTCTCCCGGATCTGTCTCACTAAAAACAAGACCAGGAAAGTTACTGCCTTTACATTCATTGAACTCTAGTTTCTCTCTCATCTGTAAATGGGGATTAATGGTTGTTATGAGAATTAAGTAAAATAATACACATGAAAACAACTGCCTGGAGAGCAGTAAGCAGTAGAGTGTTGAAAACACAATCGGAATTCACTGCTACAGAGTGAACTGTTTAGGGAATCACTGCCTTACAGACTATCCTTCTACTCCCTGTACCAGTGCCAGACCTTGGATGACACAATGATACAAACTCCCCCTCCCTCACCAAAGACTAATTACATATTCTAACATTCTAACTCCACCTTACATATCCCTCCTCCATAGTTGGAAGTATTAACAATTTACTTTCTGGTTTGCATGCCAAAAACTTCCCTTCTCACCCCCCAACTTTGGGAAAGTTACAAGAAAGGGGCCCAGTTCAGGCAATTCATTCAGCAACAAATTTCCTCGAGTGTCAACTATGTGCCAAACCATCTATCCACTAGAGAATACCTCCACGAAGAAACAAACACAAAAATGCCCTCAAGCCATTTGTATTCTAGTAAAATAAAATGACTAACTAAATATCCTAAATAACTGAAACATGCTACTTTAATTACATATTTTTGATTAAAATGACATTCCAAGATTCTCTACTAAATGCTGTTTTTTTCTTTGTTCAACAATTCTTGCAACACTTCTTAGAAATATTATTAAAACAGTCAAACCAAATATGGTATTACAGAACAATGATATACTTGCACACGGAATGATATATGCAAGAGAGTGATAAAATTCAATTATTAGATTTTCCTTACTCTATATACAGTTTTAAAAGTACCATTGCCACTCTTTGTCAAACCAACTTTGCATATCAACCCAATTTTATTTGAAAGGTATGTATGGTTTCCATTGAAATCAATCACTATTCTTGACTTCAGCATCATATATCATTCCATCTGTAAGATTTAAAGTAGCTGCTAAGTATATTATAAATATTATAAACAAGAATCTATAGATACTAAAATATAAATCTCTAAGTTAACTCTATTATATTCTATAGGTAATCCTATAAATAATTTTTAAAAATTAAGCGATTTTATGTCTGATAAACTTCTAGACTGAAGAAACTGTAGATATACACACAATCCTCCACAAATAATCTGCACCATCTCCCAATATAATGCTTTTCACAAAGATGCCAAAAAAAATGTATATGCTAATCTATTATAATCTAAGTAGATATCTTTAATTAAAGATATATAGTGTGACAAAAAAATATGAGAGCCAAGTAAGAAATACAATATTTAAATAAGCTAAAATCTGTATATTTTCCTAAATATATGTCTCAATGATCAATAATACAAAAACATCTCCTGGATGGTTTAAAGTGAGACAAAGAAAATAAACTTCACTTTTCTAAGCAGGAGAAAGTAAATCTTAAAATTTTATATATTCAAAGTAACAAAAATCTATTTCTAATATAGCTAAATGAATAGGATAACAAGAATACTATTCAAACGACTTCACAAATACACTTGGTAATTTCCCCATACAGACTAATGCTTGTGGTTTTTAAACTTCCTATTCATAAAGCTGACTCTCTATAATTAGGCATCAGTCTCAAATTGTGTGTATGCTTGTTTTTTATTTTAACCACATCAGTGTCCTCTGCTAATGAAAGAACATGCATTTTGAGTTAATTTTGAAGATTATACCTATACCTATAGTCACCCTATACCTATAATCACCTACTTTCTCTTCTCATCTTCATTTACATGTTTGAAGAATGGTTGGGTATGGTTAGAGTAGTCCATAGTCATAGAACAAAATGAGACAGATGAGCTTTTAAAATCCTCACAAGCTCCTATCACTGAACTAGCTGGTCCAGTCCATGACTTATAATCATTAAATACTGGGGATATAAAAGAGTTAACCAGAGTGTGAATTTCCAAATTTAAAGTTCAAAGTTTTCTGTATAGCTTCACGGTGACTTGCACCAAGACAAAGCTCATTTTCATTTTTGGTCAGAGCAGAACTAACACTGATTGACGACTCTAGCCACAGAATTTACATCCCTGCAAAGGTGGTGACAGGGCACTTCAAACAGGTCACTTAAGCTGTGATGGCTCTTTCGGGCATGGCTTAGCTGCTTGGAGCATTGTCCTGTGCACTGAACGGCTGTGGATTTGATTCCCAATAAGGGCACATACCCAGGTTGCCAGTTCATTTCCTGGCAGGGTGTGTTCCGGAGGCAACATATCAATGTTTCTCTCTCCCTCTCATTTCCTCTCTCTCCAGAATCAATGAAAGTATATCCTCAAGTGAGGAATTAAGAAAAAAAAAAAAAAAGGCAAAGCGTGCATTTGATAATTTGATATATCATTTAGGAAAAACCCTGGCCATCATAGCTTCTGATAATAAGATATACATTAAAGTCACTCTAACTAGTGTGGCTCAGATGGTTAGGGCGTGGTTCTGTACACAGAAAGGTGGTGGCAGGGGACATACCCAGGTTGCAGGTTCAATCCCTGGCTAGGGCATGTACAGGAGGCAATGGATCTCTCTCTCTCTCTCTCTCTCTCTCTCTCTCTCTCTCCTCCCCCATCCCTCCCTCTCTCAAAGTAATGAAAAACATATCCTCAGGTGTAGGTTAAAAAAAAAGATGTAGCCGAATCCGGTTTGGCTCAGTGGTAGAGCGTCGGTCTGCAGACTGAAGGGTCCAGGTTCGATTCCGGTCAAGGGCATGTACCTTGGTTGTGGGCACATCCCCGGTGGGGGGTGTGCAAGAGGCAGCTGGTCGATGTTACTCTCTCATCGATGTTTCTAGCTCTCTATCTCTCTCCCTTCCTCTCTGTAAAAAATCAATAAAATATATTTTAAAAAAGAAAAAGAAAAAAAAGACGTAGCCCTGGCCGGTTTGGCTCAGTGGATAGAACTTTGGCCTGCAGACTGAAGGGTCCGGAGTTCCATTCTGGTCAGGGCACATCTCTGTGTTCTGGGCTTGATCCCCAGTAGGGGGTCGTGCAAGAGGCAGTCAATCAATGATTCTCTCCATCATTGATGTTTCTCTCTCTCTCTTCCTCTCTGGAATCAATAAAAATAATTATTTTAAAAAGCTGTACATTAAAGTCATATTTTTAATGTGAATATTCAGAGGCTATGACATGATTACCTTTAAAAGAAAAATAATCTTTCCTGAAAGCATATGTGAAATCAAATACCTGCAAGGGATCTCAAAAGGAGTAAAGCTTTAAGATAAAAAGAATCTAGAAATGTCACAATGCTCACAAACATTCTAGGTGCTATATATACTGAAATCTTGTAGAAGAGATGATTCCAACTCCCACAGAGAACCTCCTGTGCTCATTATTACTTTTATCCTATCTGTCACTCCAAAATCTCCTTCAAATCAAAATGGAAAGATTAACAAGCCTCAGGAAGGCACATAAAAAAAATGGGGATATCCTGGCAACGCTGAGCCTTGAAAAAGGGAGGCGGTGCATGCTCACTTCAGACATTATTCCATCTGGAGTGCGTTCCCTTTCCCTTTATTCCTTGCCTCCCGTTTTGCTCAGCTCAAGTTCTACCTCTTCCTCAGAGATAATCCCTATTATTGCAGACCACACACCTTCTGCAGGAGGAACAATTCCTATGAAGTTTTTACTGGATACATAAACACACCCCATAAATATTTTACAATATTCTTTCGTCGTACACCAATTTCTTGAGATCCTCATATACTTTTTCTTTTAATCCCACATAGTGCTTAATAACACTTAAGGTGTGTACTGTGACCATAAAGTGCACAGATGGTATCAGGGACCCTTCAGAGAGTTTAAAAGGATGCCGCTCACAGCTGTGCAAGTCCTCCCGCCATGTCCATGTGCTCCAGAGCTCAATCAGAGATAGAACAGACTGGAAAACCAGTGTCTGTCACATCCCCAAGAGGAAGACCCTGGGAGTGTCCTCTCTCATTTCTGGGCTATGGTCTCCCTCTGTGGCAGCGAAGAGCACGAACAACCTGCATGAGTCTAAATCCCGGCTACACCCTGTTACTATGTCAATGCACTTAACCAACCTGACCCTCGATTTCCCCGTCTGGAAAACAGGAATATTAATGGTGTCTAGCTCATCAGACTGTGGCCACTGGAATGGCTCAGCACAGTGCCTTATAGCAGTAAGATAACCGCAACACTGACAGCTATCAAATGTATCAAATGCGTGAGCTGACTTAGGCTATCCGTTAGGTCTCTGCCATCACTCATAGTCTATGATCCTGTGAAAATCGGGGCCAGAATGCCAGAAAGGAGTCTTCCCCGGAGCCAAGCCAGACTGCTCTCTGCCCATCTGTTGAACAAATGACAGCCTCCAGGCAGAGCTTCTGGATCAATTAGAGGAGCAGGAGGCTAAGCGGCCTGGGGCCTGTGCCCGCTACGGGAGGTCGCCCTCCATCCACCCTCCGTCCCCGGTCCTTCAGGCCTGCGGGGCCCTGGCTTCGCCCGGAGACTCCTGTGGATCAATGCGGGGAGGAGAAGGGGAAGAGGACACTCACTTGTTCCTGCGGATCCAGTCGATGAGGGCGCGCACCTCTGGCACGTCGTCCAGGGCGGGCGGCGCCCCCGAGCTGAACTGGTCCGGGAAGCTGCGGTTGAGGTCGCGGCCACGGCTGTTGTCGCGGCCGCCGGCCCCGGGAGGTCCGCCGTCGCCGAAGCCGCAGTCGCCCTCACGGGCGCGCTCGAAGCCATCGGGGTTGAGGCTGGGCAGCACGTACACGTCCGTGGTGTTGAGCAGGCGGACGAGGCGCGGGTCCCCGCGGCGGTAGCCGGCCGCCAGCTCCCGGGCCAGGTAGACGAGCACCTGGCGCGACACCGTCTCGTCGCCGTGCATGTTGCCCACCAGCTTCACCTGCGGCCGGCCGGGCAGCAGCGGCCCCGCCGCGTCGGGCCCGGCGCCGCCGTCAGGGAGGGGCGGCCCGAGGCCGGCCGTGAGGCGCAGCACCCACAGCGGCCGGCCCTCCACCGAGCGGCCGATGCTGAAGAGGCGGGCCAGGCCCGGGGGCCCCGCGGCCGCCGCCTCCCGCAGCGCCGAGCCCAGCTCCTCTTCGTGGTAGTAGCGGTCGAACTGGCCCTCGCCCGCCTCGGCGCCCGCGCTCGTCGCCGTGCTCGTCGCCTCCGCCTTCTTGATGTGCGCGGCCCGGGCCGGGCTCCGCAGCAGCAGCAGCAGCAGCAGCAGGCACAGCGGCGGCGGCGGGAGGCGCCCCGGCGGCCCGAGAGCCCGCGCGCCCCGGCCGCTCGCCATCTTCCAGCCGCACAGCTGGCCGCTCCGCTCCCGCGGCTCCGCGCTCCGAGGCCGCGGCCAGCCGGAGGCCCCCCGCGCCTAGCAACCCTCCGCTCCCAGCCAATCGCGGGAGAGCCCTCTGTGACGTCACGCCGAGGGGCGGGGCTTCCCTTAAAGTAGCGGCGTTCCTTTCTCTCTGTCCGGGAAGAGTTTGCTCGCTGCCCTCTTCCCTTGCCAGCGTTGCTCTCGCTCTCTTTCCTTCCTCCCCAAGTTCTCTCCCGCAGGCCCTCTGCTTCCCTTCTACTGGCTCAGTCTCTTTATGCCTGACCCCTTTCTCTCAGTGCTTTTACAGCTCCCTTACCGTTTTTGTTGCATCTCCCCTCCTCCCCCTGCCCCGCCCCGACTGCACTTTTACGCTTAGAACCAAGAATCAAAACAATCAAAGGTTCCAAAGAATGCACCTTGGAAAAGCCCAAGGAAGCCTCAGCCCTTTCCACCTTTCCCTCTGCAAGCGAAGCGAGGGACTGGGACACTCGGGGCGGCAGAAGGCTCACTGCCTCACGAAGCACTCCATTCCCACTTTTCGTGTTGAAAGAAGGCGGCTCCTTTACGTTTAGCGGATATCTGCTATGTATGTATTATAGTAGGTTCCCTTTGGGTAATTTCTTTGGTGTCACACCCCGGATAACTTCATTGCCACTAGTACCTGTGTATGCTGGTCTTAGCCCTCGGTGGGCAGATTTCATTCCCTAGTTCACCACCTCTCAGCACTTTCCCCAGCAAGTTGTTTGTTTTAGTGCAGCATTAGAATGACATTTCTGGGAACACCTGCGTGGTGGGTATAATTCCTGAGCAACTCAGTGTTCTCTCAAAGCTGATAAATACAATGCTTTATTTAGTTCTGAAGAGTTCTTTAAACTCGTCCATAAGTAGGCGTTTAGTCACTTTAGCTTGAAGAATCACAAAACCTCACAATCCTCTTATCAAATGTGAAATTCGACCCCTCTTAACAACATAATTGCAATATCCTGTATTACCTTCTTTCACGGCCAGACATCTCAATACCACTTCCTTGAACTATGATGAAACCCAAATATGACTAGAAAAGAGTTCATTCATTCATTTAGTAAATATTTATTGAGCAACTACTGTGTGCCCCCGAGTCAGGGTCTGGTGAGCAATTCATTTTACTCAGCTGGAGGAGATTGGCTACAGTTTGTGGTAAGTGCTACAATAGAGAGATGGGGGCCTCCTGAGGAAGAAAGGAGAGGAAGTAAGGGTAGGAGGAGGGAGGAATTCTGGGCAGAAGGAGGAGCAAGCACAGAAGGCTGCAAGGCATGAGAGCAAATACTGCACATCCTGGCAGCTGCATGCAGATCCGGATTTCTTTCTTTCTTTTTTTAATTCTCACCGAGAATATGTTTATTGATATTCAGAGAAAGAGGAAGAGAGAAATTGGTTGCCTCCCATTCATGCCCCTTCCAGGGATGGAATCTGCAACCTAGGTGTGTCCCCTGCCTGGGAATGGAACCCACAACCTTTTGGTGTATATGGGAGGATGCTCCAACCAGTGAACACCCGGCCAGGGCACAGATCAGTATTTCTGACGTGAAGAAGCTCATAGGTGAGGTGACCTTACAGGACACAGGTCAGAAAAGCAGACCAGAGCCCAAAGAAACTCAGAAGCCAGGCTCTGAGGAACACCTATCTGGAAGACCATGGAGAGCCACCGATGGATTTTAAGCTAGTTTAGAAAAATCCCTCTCACAGTAACATGGAGGGTACCGTGGAAGGTGTCAGATTCCAGACTGAGAAAACTGTAAGGAAGATGTAATCCAAGAAGACATTATGAGACTCTGAACCCTTGGGGGCAGTGCTAGTGGAGGTGGAGAGAAGGAAGTGGATTTGAAAGACCTTTAGGAGAGAAAGTGGATAGGATCTGGCGACACAGAGAGAGGATTGTAGACTGACTCCCAGTTACAGCCTAAGCAACTGGCAGGTGCTCACTGAGGCTTTCTAGGACAGGAGGAAGCAGGCTTCGGTGCAGGTGATGGGTTCAGCGGCCACTCTGGTCCTGTGATGCTGCTTCTCCTCCAGGCCCCATTTGGTCTATGCACACCAGCTGCAACTCAACAGAAACAAAACCCCAGCTCCTACAGAGACCACTCTCCCCTGACAGTGCTTGATCATTACGCGATGCGTTTTGACAATAATCCAAATCGAGCAAGACCCAGGGGATACGTTAACCTCCAGTCAAATATTTCCTTTTCTGCCATTTTCATTCGCCTTTGAATCCTCTTCCTGCCAACTCACTGCTACAGCCTCACCCAGTGAGGCAGGCTGGAAATGTAAATACCGGAGCATGCGGGCCGTGAAAGAATGTGCCGCAGCTTGAGCCAGCACCCTCCCAGCAACCCACAGGCCCCACGAGGCGTGTTTGCAGCCTCGTTCAGGTCTGGAGCCTCCATCCTTATTAGGCACACACACTATGCGGGTGGTGAGACATGAAACCCACAGCTCCCGGCCTCCTCACTGCTCACTAGAGGGGGAACCTCCAGCTAAATAAACTGCCTCCAGCTGGTCCTGAAAAGTCCTGAATCTTGGGACAGGTGCCCCTTTCTTCCTCTCCCAAAGCGAAGTCTTGGCTTTGCAAGGGAGGTAACTCGGGGAAAGGCTTTCTGTTCACAGAAGCAGAGAGGTTATGACTTGCATTTAAAGCGCGCGCGCACACACACACACACACACACACACACACACACACAACAAAACAAAAAATGGGGCAGAGCTGGTAGATGGCCTGACTTCCGCAACCACTTCCTTTAAAGAATTCATAGGTAATTGAACTTGTAAATGTCACATTGTCAAGCAGAAACACCCACAGGCTGACAGTCACTTTGACAAAAGACCCACTCTAGTGAAAGGCCTTTTGTGCTGGGTATGCGGGGATTGGAAGATGAATGAGAAATTCTGTCCGAGGAGGCCAGAGCCTAGTGGGGAAAACAGAACATAGGACGGTTTGTGTTGGCAGGGCCGGTGCTATGGAACAGTGCTAGCCCTTAACTTTGGTTGATGCACTTAGTCCTCACAAAAATCCTGAGGCAGGTACTACCGAGTTTCCCCGAAAATATGACATCCTCTGAAAATAAGACCTACTTACAGGTTTTCTTCTGAGTGAAATATAAGGCATCCCCCCGAAAATAAGTCTCTCCCCCCCAACCTCCCCCCCCCCCCCCCGCCCCGGCTCTGTCTTAGAATGCTATTGCTAAACACGAGAGATTTGGTCCACTGATTCTGAAAGAAATGGAGTCACAAGAAATTCACCAGGAAATTCAGTAATTAGATTGTTATGATGATGTTCCAGAAGATGATGACATGATTGTCATTGAATAAATGAGTAAATTCTTGATACTGTAGGATTCACAGTTTGTCTGGTTTGTGTTGACAACTACCGTACTACCGTACCGTATGCAGGTAATAAATTTCCTTTACTTTCATTTAACAATAAATGTGTACCATATTCTTCTTCATGGAAAAATAAGACATCCCCTGAAAATAAGACCTAGCGCATCTTTGGGAGGAAAAATTAATATAAGACACTGTCTTATTTTCGTGGAAACAGGGTATTATCATTCTCATTTCAAAGGTAAAGAGACCGAGGAGGCACAAGGTCTCACAGCTGGCAGGCCACAGACCCAGGACTCCAATTCAGGGGGTCTGGCTTGTGAGTCTGTGTGTTTAACCTCTCTAATAAAATTGGTTCTATGTAGTGAACTTAAAAAAAAAAAAAAAAAGCTATTGGAACACAGAGGGGGAAAAAAACAACTAGTTATGATGAGAAGCCAGAGGAAGCTTTGCCAAAACCATTAGATCATAAGTTTTGGCATCAGAACTGAGTTCAAATGTTGGCTCAAGCATTTTCTAGCTGTTTTAACTTGGGGGAGTTATTTCATTTTTCTGAGAATTAATTGGCATATAACCTTTAATGTAATACTTGTTGTTTTGACATGTAACAGGCTTTCAGAAATCATTAATTTTATCTTTTTTAATAAGAAGAATTCTCAAACTGGAAAAGAAGTGAGGAAAAGAGCGCTTGAAAAGAGCAGAGATGTGGACTAGATTGAACTGGCCAGGGGATTGGCAATGCAGAGGTTACTGTGGCCGTCCTGAGAGTAGTGGTCTTGTCAGGGAAAGCCTGAATGGAGTGGATTCAAGAGAGACTAGAAGGTGAGGGAGTGGAGTGGATGAAATAATTCTTTTGGGGAGTCCTGTTACAAAGGGGAGTAAAAAAAAAGGCGGGGGGAGGGGATAAAACTGGATGGGGATGGAAGGCAAGTGTTGGGAGCTACAAATGTTTTCTGCTGATTGCCTTTTATTTTCTTCGTGAAATGGGAAGTAAAGCCATCAGGTGAGAGTTGGAGGCTGGAGGAGAGGGAGAAAAGTATGAAATCATAGTTTCAAAGAGTGGGAGAGAGAAATGGAGAGTAATAATAGTTTTCAGCTATTCGCCCTTAATGGGGACCAACAAGCAGTTTTCTGACATGTTATCCAGACAGGAAAGCTAATGGGACAGGGAACAGAGGGTTGTTGTTTTGTTTTGTTTTTATTTTTTCAGGAGGAGGCTCTGGGAACATGAAAATGTGGGTGCAGTCCGAGTGATTGGATTCTGCAAAGCCGATTTATAGGGCTGGGAGGTCCTTGAGGAGATGAACGTAGAGAAGGGAGGGGAAAGGCCAGATTGCAGTTAAAACTGCCTTTTCTGTTTTCCTCTATGTCCTGGGCCCCCTAGCATTAAGTCATCCAGACAAGTGGCCACGTGCTCCGGGTTGCCTCTTGCAAGACAAAGTCAAATCCTAGCAAGTTGCAGTCCAAGAAGCAGTAAAGGAGACTGTCACCTCAGAACCACCATTTGAAATCAAATTTGGGATTTTAAAGACAAACACCTTGTCAATCACAATCTGCATAGAATAATACCTCCTTCCCTTTACATGTCCTTTCCTGTATTAACCTACTCAATGCTCACA